CTTGATATTCAATCTTTGGCTATCTGAACCTCGTCTTCATTAAAGAGCTGCTTTTGGTGCGGGTGAGTACTTTGTAACTTACTTGACAGATATCTCCTACGGCATATAAGTCTTTGTCCTGGTTTTGGCTGGGATAGAGTTAATTTTCTTCCTAGTAGCTGGTATAGTGCTGTGTTTTGGATTTAGGATGAGAATAATGTTGATAACACACTGATGTTTTAGTTGTTGCTGAGCAATCATTACACTATGTCAAGGACTTTTCACCTTCTGATACTGCCCTGCCAGCAAGGAGGCTGGAGATGCACAAGAAGCTGGGAGGGGACATATTAAATTGTCTTTATCTCAACCCATGAGTTTTACCTTTTTTCCAAATCTCTCCCCCATACCACTGGGGCGGGGGAAGCAGTGAGCAAATGGCTGTCTTGTTTAGTTGCCTGCTGGGTTAAACCACAAGTCTTCTGTAACTCAAGCAACGAGACAGACTGGCACATGGGGTAGCTGCTCTGTGCCACGTGCAACTCCTAGTCCCGACACTAGAGAACCAGCTCTGCATCATGACATCCTCCGGTGACAGAGGCTGCCACCCTGACCAGTCTCCAGAATAAGGAAGCCAACCAGGAGCAAGGGTGCATGGCAGTGACAAAGCGGCACCGATCACCAGATGTCATTCTGTCCCCTTGCCCTGCAATAGCTAGCACTGGCTACATTAAGTGCTAAAGCTATTTGAAACATACATCTTCAGTAGCAGCTCTGCTTTTCATGGCTCCAGTCACTTGTATTTGGTTTTGTAATTTTGCAATTGCTCCGCTGAAAATGGAAAAACGTGCTGTCTGTCACACCATCAGTTGGTGAACCCACACTGTTTTCCATCGTATCAGCCCTTATGACAGGATATCAACATTAGCCTCTGTTAAGCCATTCTGCTGGAATACGAATTGGCTTTTTCTTCTGTTTTTTCAGAAACCTACTTAATGCCACTAGAATCCATAGACAGGCTGGTTCAGAGGGGAGCCCTGTCAAAGTCAGTCACCATTTTCAGAATAACTTTGACAGTGCCTATTAACATCAGGCACACTCTGAGCAGCTTCCATCACTGGATGGTGATGTCATATGAAAGTTTCATGAAAGAAATAATGGTGAACAAAAACGCTATTACAAAATTTCAAAATTGCTCACGTAGTCCCTTGAAAACATAAAAGGCACATAACTGGCTAAAAGCATCTAATTACTTCAAAGCAAAAATCATGACATGTTTTCTTAATGCAGATTTTACCTTATCAACTATTTACTTGTATTAGATTTTTTTCCATGGAGATTTGTGGCATATTCTGAAATGGGGGGGGGGGGAAGTCATATTTGCTTCACCCAAGAAACTGAGAAAGGGCACCATGCTTTTTCTAGGGGAAATTCAAACTATACTTGTCACAGTGTGTGATAGACTGTTAAAAAATTTGGGCTTAGCTCCCAAACCATGACTAATCTGTCGTCTCCCACTGCAGGCTGAGCGAGTTGGTATCTGGAGATAACCAGAGATCAGCTAATCATTATAATCTGCCAGAAGCAGGAATCCTCCGAATCAGGAGGAAGAACCAAGTTCCTAAGCAAGTCCCAAAAAATGGCCTGCAGGGGATGGCTGACCCTGAGAGGATATTTATAATACAACTCTTCAAGAAGCAGCTCATGAAGATGACTGCTCAAGGACCTGAAGGCATGAAGGAGTGTGAGAATTGCAAGGATGTGATAGATCCCTTTGGCGCTCATGGAAAAAGGTCAATGACATCAATGGTACAGTTATGCTACGCAGCTTTATTTTGAAGTAATAAAACTGCAGCTTGGGGGAGAGAAGAGGGAAATTATGAACATCTCAATTCTCATGAGTGTTTTTTCGTGCATAGTTGGGTCAGCCCACCAGCTCACACACATCCTAAACACCTTACACACAGTTCTCACACCAGAGGGTAAGTCCACAATAAAGGGGAAATCATGATTTCCTGGTACTCATCAGCAGATTACCTTCACTCTACACCATTAAGTCAAAAGAAAGACTCTGTGCCAAGAATTATGAAGCCTGCATTAGGCAGGCAACAGAGCTTAGAAGCCTAACGAACCAGATGATGGATTTCTCTTGAAGCACGGCAGATACCATTTTCTTTTATAAAACCCCCTTGCTTGATGGATTATTGCTGAAAGGCTCCCCAAGATAAGTGGGTTTAATGATGAACTGTTGATTGTTTCATGTACAGAGGAATGAAGAAGTGCCTTTGATAAGGGGTAGCATGGAAGAATGCATAAAGACCAGAGGGAAGTGAGATATAATGATCTACCTGACTGCATTTTAAAAAAACTCTTGGTTTTTGGAGACACTATAAACTATGCTCATTATTTAAGCATCCAGTTTGTTTTCTTAAGTTTCATTGATTGTGAATAGTAAGCCAGCTTTGCTGTTTACCTCCTGACCTTACCAGTATCTCAAGTCCACTGTTTACAACACTTTGAAGAAGAAATCTAATGGTTATAAAGCTCTCAAATGGAGTACTGTCAACAGAAATTTTATATTTCAATTGTGGAGCCAGTTGCTGTTTGGATTTCTGTTCAACAGCAACATTTTTACAGCACAGCCCTCAGGCAGGGTCTCACTGCACACCAGCTTTGGTGCATAACAGCATTATTGTGTGTGCTAAATGTCCTTATGGGAATTGCTATTTTTTAATATCCTGAGCAGGTCACTTTGCAGACTAACCAGCCAGCTGTACTCACACCTTCTCCCAACTGCCAGCCTGTTTCTGGATGAACACACAGGATTAAGCATCTTGTCAACTACTGACTCCCCCAAACTGAAACAAAAGCCTCCAAAAAGAAAAGAAAAAAACCCAATGACAACAAGGGATGAGTTGTTTTTGCTGGCTCTAAATACACCTTTAGAAAGTACAGCCCACAATAGGTCTGTAATAACTAAATGCCTAAAGCTCCACGATTATCAAGTTTCAAGCAGCCCTTTGTATGCTAGTTCAGCTCCTATCACTACATCACCTAAGAAATGATTACAGCAAGAGTTTGAAGCTCTCCAGTGAAGTTAGCCGTACTCCACATCATGGTGGCGGTTCTTCTTTGCCCCAGGAAGTTCATCTGTGCAGTATCACATAGCAGGGCACAGGCCGTCACAGTTATTCAGCATTAATATTACAGTTGCTTTAGCTGTTCCTCTGAGATCAGATTCCCATTACACAGGACATCGTACAAACACTGGGGGACGGGACTGTGTCTTACCAAAAGAGCGCAAGTGGGAGAAGTTGCAAAGCTGGAGGTGTTTCTGTCTTTATAATATTTTTTTTTAAGCCCAAAAATTTAAAGGAAAATAACTCACCTTTGAACCTGTCCAGAAACACATCTGGAGACAGTTTTCCTATCCCCACTTCATATTTTAACATACAATTAATGAGATTTAACAGATCATATAATGGTATCAGATAGCTTATTCATTGCTCCCGTGGCTGAATGAAAGCAGCTGGATACTCCTTTGAATGAACAAGCAAACCCCAAATTCATTCCAATACAATAAGCATGAAAGAAAGCAGCTTATTAGTTATGCCCAGTGCTGTTAATTGTTATCTCACACCTAGCAGTATGCACACTGTTAACAATCTTGTATAACACAATGGAACAGAAGCATTGCATGAGACAAGCCATGCTAACAGGATGACTACAGCAGCGTTGGTTCTGAAGGGCTCTGGCATGAAGGCTTGAGATATACCCAGTGATTTAAAATTTAATGTCTGCTTTTTAGCAGTTAGCATGCTTTTATGTCTCAGCATTAACATTTAATTTGATTTTGTTCAAAAGCACTACAAACCAACTTGTTTGTTCAATCAGAAGATTAAAGCACACTTGTTTTTATTTATTTAGGTCCTGATCTGCTTTGAAGTGGAAACCCAATGAGGACCTACCTTAAGAGTCTGCAAAAACTTCTCCTGTAGCTGAGCCGCTGACTTGCCGCAGCCACGCTGGGAGGGAATGGAGGGCGCGAGGGGAAGTAGGCCAACGCTGCGGAAAATATCAGGGAAACCATTCCAAATTCTAAACGAGAAGGCAAAGAAAAACAAAACCGAGAACAGATGTTAGCATCAAAAGACTTATTTCAGTACAGCATTGTTATCAGCCAGCCTCTGATACATAAATCCCACCACAAGTGCTTTACTGCTCCCGACAACAGAACTCCATAACTTGAAGGAGAATTTCTTTTTTCCTCCCCAAGCAAGATTTCAAATTGAGATGGAAAATCAATGAGATGGAGAAATACCGGCAGTCCATTCCAGTGACAGGAGCTACGGAGAACCAGGCTCACACACGGGGGAACTCAGTGAAGCAAGAGGAAAGCTTTTGCTTTTTCTCTTTAGAGAGAGCTGCATTATGAAGATCTGGCCATGTTTCCTTGCGATGGAAGTGACGCAGTGCAGGTAACAGCGTGCTAGAGACTTTAAACAGATGGGACTGGGGAAGCCCCAGGGCACGGAATGACAATTATTCAGCGCACAGGATGATGAAGGCAAATGAAAGGTCAAGAAAGGCAGCATCAGACACAAACAGTATTACATGGCAACAGAATATAAAGAGAAAAGCGTAGGAGTAGCCATAGCTCAGGTATAGGAAGAGCACGGGTAATAGGGAGAAAAATGAAAGAATAAATCTGTTTGCAGATGCTCCTCTTGTTCAGCAGCAGGTATCTACATCTTTGAAAAATTTCATAGCAGAAATTTGGACCTGAACTTCCAAAGTGATGAGCACTTCACAGAAAACACTCAGCAAGCCCCATGATCAGACACTCTGAGGAAAAACAACTCTACCCACAGTCAGTCTAATTAATTTGTTTTACAGGCCTTTTACAATCTATATCATGTTCTCCACAGTCCTCAATCCCAATATTTCTCCTATCCCCTTTGAAAACAAGATTCTTTGCTGCTGGAGAGGAAAATGTATAGCTGAAGTGTGTTATCTTAAAAGAACCTGTGATCTTATAACAAAGAAGTGTTCACCGACACCACAAATAAATTTCAGCAGAGCTGAATACTCAATTGCATTCATTTTCTTTTTTCTTCTCTTTTTTAATAAATCAATATGAACATGGCACTTTGCCAGCTCTTCTGCTAAACTAGAAGAAAATAAATTCAGGAAACTGGAAAGTAAATAACACTCAGAGTCTAAATGGATCAGCTGGAGATGGGGAAGGGAAATGAATGCTTCTATTTGGTATATGGAAAAAAAAAATCTACACTAAATTTCTTTTGAAGGCATATTGGGAATGTGACAATGCCATTCTTCATGATCAAACACTGAAGGATTCATTTTGAATTATGTGGTGTCTCTTTTCCTGCTGTGGTCTAATTTCACGTTTTGAGGGTCAGGGGCACTTTAACTACACCTTCTCACTGTATCTCCTCTGTTATCCAGAAAATAGATTAATTTCTATCTTTGTGTACATTGGTTTTGAGACCATGAGCAGTGAATAAAGATCTGGCCATAACTGATCATCCCAGATTTAAGAAAAGGATGAGATGCTTTGTCACTACAGGATGATACTAGACAAGGAAGCAAGGCTTGCCAAAAGCTGTTTATCCCCTTTTCTCCTGCATCTAGGTCTACGTGTAGGTTTATAAGTATACATATACGTACATGCATTTGCACACTTTAATCACATATTAAAGGAAAATTTCAGACTGCAGACAGGTATAGCCAACAAGAATGTGACCACACAAACCCATAAACTTTGTCCGAGGTGCTTATTATTTAACTTCATTACACTGCAATGCCATAAGGGGAAAGGCTAGGTCTTTTTCTAAAGAATGTAAAACACGTTGATAATTTTTTTAAGTCACAGTAATATTTCATAACAGGTGCCCATCTGGGGCCTCTTCTGCGGGTTGCCTCAAGATTCCTGCCAGTCAAATTGCTGCAGTAGAACCAGTATAGTAACACTTCATTTTTTTTTGATTATTAAATTCAGCATGCAGTCCTTGTAGTACCTTCTTGCAACTCTTTAATGTTTCCCAGTTTTATACTTTCCAGGCTAACAAATTTGCCTCGCAAGCACTGCCCTCATGCACAAAAGAAAAGAGCAGAATTCACTTTGGAAGCTAAAGCAGCTCCCTCTATCGAAGAACAAAAGTCTTTAGTTTCATCTTAGCTTTGTGTATCACACTTGCATCTCTACCAAAAGTCCAGGTAGTGCCAAACACATCCAATTTCTTACATGTTGCATTCCTTCCTCATTAGGAAACCCACACCTTTATCTCCATCATCATTTACTCTGCCAGACTAGATAAAGTAAAATACATTCCCAGGACAAGTTTTAGATTGTAAGTAGGGACTGAAAGTAAGCAAAAGAGAAAAGGTAAGACATAGGTCAATATCGAAACAAGGGAGCTGCCATCACAAAAGAGGAGCTCTTCCACAGAAGCTATCAGCTTCTCAGCAGCGCAATGGACGCAGCAAAGCACTCTGAACTGGGTGAGTCAGCATAAACTAGTGTGCAGAAACACAGCCATGTGTATCTCTTGTTGAGGAGTGAATCTGGAATGCGTCACAAAGGCTGGGTACCAGGCCACAGTGACCTGTGACTGTCAAAGTGGAGAGATGCCTGCATCTTGAGCCTAGGAAGTAGGCACCCTGCTGCCTGTGTAAGCCCCAAACAGAAAAAAGAGGTTTAGAGACACAAGCCTCCTTAACACAAGGTCTTTTTCCTTCAGATAGGCTACTCATAGCACAAAAACCTACCCAAACCCAGAAACCCTCATCCCCATCTTGTCCTGAAATGTGAAGGGGGAATGAGTGCACTTTACAAACACACACTTTTTTTTTGTCCAACTAATAATGATTTCACATTGATATTTAGGAAAGCACATGGCTAAAAGCTCTGGCTGCAGTCCAGAACAATTCAAGCTTCCTTAGGCAACTCAGGTAATACAATTCAGTCCTGATTTGCTACCTCTGTACTATTTCAGCTGTGAACCAGAATGTGCAGCGATACAGATGACACAGGAGGCGGCTGTGGTAATACAGCTGAGCTCTTAGTCTGCATTTGAGATAAAGGAGCAGCAATTTATTAAAACACAGAAGAGACTGGAGTTAACAGAGCAATTTCAGAATGGGTTTATAAGCAATTGCTTCGTAATCATGTTTGAGGTTAAGTCCTTGGAAAATTAGCACACTCTTGGCATGCTACGGATCCCAAGTTAACAATACACATCATTACTGTCTTTTAAAAGTCATCACCTAACTTTTGGATGCTGCTTATCTAATGCTACCTCACACAAAAGCAACAAGCTCCATCACAAACACAACTCCGTTAGGAATGCAGAGTGCCTATCCTCTGAAACTGGCTTTCCTATAGTATCTGAAAGGAGAAGTCATACCAAGCCTGACCATACTTGCGAAAGAAGCAGAGAGGTAGGACATTTGGGTCCAGCTCCTTGTTCTGCTACATTCTGTAAGACCTTCACCAGTAATCCGTGAAGTCAACTTGAGCTTGGTTTTCTGCCCAGCAGACGAAGGGGACAAACAGTACCCTACCACACCTACCAGGTATTTTTTGGTCTGCAAGTTAACAGAGCTGTACCACGAGGTAGTCACCCACCACGAGGCAGCCTTCCCTCCACCTCTGGAGCCTACCCGCCATAACAGAGCACAGGGGAGGCAGGCAGCCGGGACCTTGCTCCTTCAGCTCTCCAGGAAAGCAGGGCTGAGGTGAGACAGGACAAATCACATGAGGGATTCGAAGCAACCTCCTCTTTGACAGTTCCTATCAATTTTAAACCAGTTGGACGTTTTGCCACCATCACTACGATTCACTGAAGGCCAGTAATGTTCATGAACCAGCTCTTTTTCGTTGCCTGAACAGCTAAAGGGGTTGTAGCTCCTGGAAAAACACACCCCGTATGGCACAACCAGAGCAGCTGCACAAAGAAACCACAGTTGTTCAAAGCACTTTCAAATACTAAGTAAGAACTACAGATGTCCCATAACACACATTTCCTAGGAAGCCAAAGAGCTGCTGTAGGATTATCTTATGCTGGGATGACCCCAAACAGGTCTACGGGATGTTCCCAAGCCCTTGATGGCTCAGAAAGGCAGAAAGAGCTGTGCTGAGACATGGGGCAGGCAAGACACACCTCTGAACCTTGATGGCAAACAAGATCCACCCCAGTTTCTGAAGAAAACGCTTAGGAAAACCTCCCAGAAGAGAACAGAAGAGAAAGTGAATCTAATGGACTGCCAAAAGCAACATTTCTAGTGCTACCAGACTCAAAACAGTGGTTTTAGGCACAAAACTGTACCTCCTTTAGGCAGGTGAATTCTTCTCTCTCTCCATGGAAAATCTGGAGAGGGAGAGCTAAAGAACTTCTCTAATCACTAGATTTCTCCTCCCCTTATCTACTACTCCTCAGAACAAAAGCTGACTTGCCTTCATTTTTCCTTCTTTCACACTGACTGTTTTCATCTGCCATGAGATTTTCCGACTCTAACATCATACTTACCTCTGAAAAATGCCTAACCAACCCCAAATTTCCTTTCTGTTCCAATACACTTGCGTCCAGTAAAAAGTAGGTTACTCAAAAATACTTGCTGAAACAGTGATCCAACTTATACTACGCTTTCTTTAAAACAAACAGTAAAGTGGCCCTCACCCAACATGAGTATTAACTCGACAAAATTTCCATAAGAATAACGTCCAGGAATAAATGATCACAAACAGCTAACTCAATCCCATAAACCTGCATATAAACTACACAGTATATATACTTTAAGACTTCTGGAACACTTAGGGCTAACTCCTGGCTGAATTTCAGAGGCTGCAATTATAAGGGGGGAAAAACCCAACCAAATGTGCAACTGGCATGACATGGTAAAGTTCAGCTGCTCTTAATGCTATAGCAATTTATATCTACTAAGAATCAGATCACAGACTCTTAAGCCACTCAAGCAACTCTTTTTCCTTAACGCTTGCTGCTAATTTTTTTAAGTGACACAAAGAGCCGTAGAAGCCATTGCATGAAAAAGAGCAAGGACACAAAATCTAAATTATATCAGGTGAATTTTCTGTCAGTGTTTTTTTCCACTAAACTGTTGTCACTTCATTGAAATTGCTCACCACATAAGAATTATGTGGTTTTAGTTAAAAACAAAATCTCTTGAGTTTTAATTTCAATGTTAGATTCTTAAATACTAACAATCTAATCACATTTGAAAGGCATATGCAAGTCATAAATCAAGGCTGATTTAATGCAGGAAAGAATTTAATGCTGAAAGACTACTGGATTTCCACCCTTACAGAAACAAAAGAAGAAAACCCAACCTGCCATGGACACATTTTTTTTCATGAAAATTCAAGAAGCAAAAACCAGTTTGGAAGCTCAGGGAAAGCATAAGCTCTCCTAGAAGTCATTTCTCCTAAGATCAGCCCATACAAACAACTGAAATACTTCATTTGGAATCAGTCTGTACAAAAGGCTATTTTAAAATCTCTCCTACACAAAAGGCAAAAAAAAAAAATTAACCCTTCTGATGGTACAACATTTTACCACTTCATTATTTTCCATCAGTCAGTAACCGTTTTCTGTGCAGACCAGCCACTAGAGGGTAGTGGTTCACAAGTACCAAACACACACATGAAAGTATGTGAATTTTTTTTATAATTTTTTTCTTTTTTTTTTTCTTTAATTTTTATTTTTAAACCACACCTGCATACAGCACAGCCTCAATGCGGTCCTTGATGTGCTCAGTGTTGCTCTGCGATACCAGCGGGAGGTGAGATGTTCCATTAGGAGATGGCACTACAAGAGGTCCCACTAGAAAGGCGCCAGCAGCTCCCAGGTAATTGAGCAGTGATGCGATGGCTGTTGCTGTGGCACGTTCATCCGGAGAAAACCACGTCGTTGAAAGGAATGGTGCCGCGTTCATCACAGTTGGCCCCGCCAAGCCATTTAACAGCTGCCCTCCGTGAATCAGCCTGGAACAGACAATAGAGACCACAGTCATTTGGATGACAATTGCTTGCGCTTTTTTTTTTTTAATTAAAAAAGCATGTAAGCTATTGAGTGCTGGAGATGGAGCGACTGCACAAAGAAATGAAAGTCCTTTGCAAAAAGAAAAAAAAAAAAAGGATATTCTATGCACTAAAAGAAGCCCAATTACACTGATTTAAAGAATCCAGAGCTACTCTGGTCTCATTACCTCAGATAAATGGAGAAGCAAATGTTCTCTTCGAAGCAGAAAAGGAAGAGGGAATAAAAGGAACTTTCTTTGCAGAAAAAAGGTATCATGATAGGATACAAAAGTAGAAAAGGCATAGTAGCAGGAAAGCCTGAAATTACAAACGTCTTAAACCTGACCCCTTGCCTGAATAAATTCCAATAGAAAATTTAAATTAGTTATGGCAGATCCAAAATTGAAACACTTTAGCAAAATACTCTGCATATTTTTTCGCTGCATTATTTATTTTTATTTACACACTCAGATGAGCTATATGTGCCTGCAGATGAGGAGGCTGGGCTGTTGAGGTTTCCAAGAGAATTGTCTTCTCCAGCAATCTGGCCATTCTCAACACACTGTTGAAACAGCCAAGCAAACCCAGATTTTTCTTGTTTTTCACACTCACTGGGATTTAACAGATAAGACTGGTGACAGAACAGAGATAGTACTTCCAAGCAGTGAAGTCTCTAAAAACTTTGGCTTAATATTAGTACAATGAGCACATACAGAAAGGACTTTTTGAAGGCTCTTCTACACGTGGAAGTCAGCCAGAAACCTTCCACTTTGACTTTTCCAAAAAGTGATCAGCCGTGAAAGGCAAAAGCATTTCAGAATTTATATAAAAACCTCATGTCTATAAACCAGCTAGTAAGTCAAACAAAATATTGCAACCCTCCCAAGTAGATCTACCCATTGTGCAATAAAATGGTGGCAGATGATATTTTTAAATGGGTGGTGTTTTTCTAAGCATAGCAGGAACTTGATGTTATTGCTGCAAGACTTGAGTTGTCAGACATAAAAAGCTAAGGCCTGAAAATGGGGAAACATAAGCTAGCATTTAGGCAATGTTTCAAGCCACAAATGGTTGAATAACATACAGTGTAGCAGGAGCTTTTTTAAAGCACACAAGGGAACAAAATACGCAAAAGAAATGCTGTCAGACTCTTTATCAAATTAACAAACTAGATTGCAATAAAAAGGAATAGATGCTACTGATTCTCAGTGGATTAGAAATTAAACTTTTAAACAAAATTTATACAAATACACAGAAAAAAGAAAAAGCTATTACATATCATCTGAAGGAAACACTTTCCGAGCTGGGACAGAAGTAATATGCACTCTTAAATATAAGCAACTGCAACTTTTTTTTTTTTTTTTTTTTTTTTTAGAGTTCACATAACAAGGATAGATTTCATTCCTATTTCTTCATGATGTGCTTCAGATGGACATCACTGAGGTATGGTCAGGTGATTTTTAATGCTTGTTAAACTGGGGCCCCCCAATAAAATAAAATGAAATAGTTCTAAATAAATAAAAAGCACTATCTAAATAATGCTCTGGTACAGTTCTCTGGAGGACACTTTGCATGAATCCCTTATGGTTACTCTCCAACCCAGTGTACTTTGGCCAAACCAAGGTATCCTTGTGCACTTGGTATTTTCATTCTACTTATCTCACTACAATAAGTCGTTCTCAAGCTTATCCTAAACCGTTCCAAGGTATTTGCAGAGCTATGCTACATCCCTAGAAACAGCTGCATTTCAGTAGCAAGTGAGGTAACTACTGCAACATATAAAGATTTTATTTTTGTATTTCCTCTTGCTCCAAAGTGAAGGTAATGCTTAAATTGTGGTTTTGTTATTGTATGCTAGGAAACCTGTGTCACCACAAAATAACCTTTATAGCTATAGGTGCCATACTAACACTTCTGTTCACTTATACCACTATGATAATATTGTTTTAATTCACATACGCCTACTCTGTAGAAATCCTAAGGGCAAATAAAACTCACTAAAATCAGAAAAAAGTACAATAGTTTTTCTGCAGTGCCTATGGGAATGTAGGTGCTTCATCTGATAGAAGAAGAAAAGTTTTGTAAAAAAACCCAAACCAACCACCAATCAAAAGACTCAATTCGTATATTGTGAGAATTATACATGCTCTTTTAATGTACTTACACTTCAGATTTAGATTGTGTCTATCAAACTCCGCTATCTGAATAAAGCTCTCTAACTGACCTCCATACTCAAGGCAGACACAGGTGTTAATTTTACCTTGCAGATCCAAAGGGAGAAAGCAGTATTTTAATCCAGAACTTTAATACTACATTACTTTTCTGTCTTAGTTTTTTTTCAAAGTAAGAGCCAATTTTTATTTCTCTGTAGGTCTCTTCTGTTGGTGTTCTCCTGCCTGCTCTCCGCCTGGTGTGCTGCCTGTTCCCATGGATTTGCCTTCCCATCTGCATTTTTGGCATTTACCAAGCTTGACATTATCATCCAAGGTAAAGCATCTCTTATCTTCATGTTGCTTAATTTTTCAAATCTAACATATTGCAGTGAATAAACACTATTTTCAGACTAAATTGCCACTGATATACAGACTACTACCTCAAATACCTCTGCATATGATAACTGCCTAGACCTTATTTTATCTGTTTTTCAATACTGGCTTGAATTAAGCTACTTTTTCTCTGAGAAAAAGATTATTTGCATTGTTCCTCTACACATGCTTAACTCATTTCCCTAAAGAGGCAGGGACAAGAGATTCAAAACGCGATTCAGTGCATTTACTAAGCTGCTACTCTGAGAGACATATGTAGCAGCTGCTCCATCTGACAGAGAAATAAGAACACAACAGAATTGGTGGCTTTTTGCTGTTTGTTACAATGTCTTATCATCACCGCACTAGATTTTGGTCTCACAGCCCCTAGGAGTCTCCTCTTGTACACCATCAGTGCTAAAAATTGCTCCAACACCAACAGACATTTGTTTCTGTTACTCCCCGATCTTCTTCTTGTTTCTGCTACCGAAAAGGTACAGAGAGCAACTGCATTTTTCCCTGTCACTATTTCAGTTTCATTCTGCACAACAAGATTTCTCTTCCCTGAGAAAAGGGCTAACAAGATAACTTTAGTTCAGGATCCTACCCAGATGGAAAAATAATTTTCAGTCTTATTACACTAACAGGGTAATTTTCGTCTGTTATTTATCCAGCTCTGCTCTGTTTTCAGATGCATTATTTATCCAATCATCATCTAATTATTTTCATGTATCAAAAAGTAGAAAGTTATTGAGTTCAAATAATAGAAAATAACACAGGAGTGGAAGGCTTTTTAATCACAATCATGAAAGAGAAAATTGGAAAAAAATGACACCAGAAATTCATCCCTGACTTACAAAATAATTGACGATTGTCTAGCTTAAAGCAAACATGGGAAAGAGAAACATCTACCAAAAATATCTTATTTCTAACCATTTCAGAAGCCAGGTCAGGAACTCATTTCGAAATTTCAGTGCTGTTGCACACCTGACCTCTGCGCTAATGAATTTTTGTGCTCTTCCAAAATTGTAACTTGCAGTTGAACACACGAGCCCTTTACAAAAAAAATAAATAAAAATTATTTGAGGACTGGTAGTAAATGCTAGCACTAAATATCATGTGCCGTAGCATCACAGTAATGGATAATTTATACATTTACATTATGTATATATGTATCAATATATATAAAAAAATTAATACACAGATTATATATATATATACACACACACACACCCCTTCGCACAAAATAAAGATCACTTTTTTTCGTAAACTGGCCTCTGAACTGCAAAAAGATAGAACAAGGGATAGTTCAAATATAACAATAAAAATCAGAGAAGAAAAGCTCTTTTTGTACTATATTGTCATCTCTTTTCCAAATGTTGGTCAAGTCACATTATAAATAACTTAAATTATATGGTTTTCATCACTTCCCTGAGAGAAGACTTTATATGAGTATTAAGTAGTAACCTGGTTATACCTGCTTTATTCACTCCCTGCTGTCACTGTTGCAATATCCTAACAGGCAACAACAAAAAAAACAAACGTGTAAGGCTATAAATGCTGAAATTACAAGATCACTGAGCAAACTGGGTATGGAAAAAAGCGACATACAGGAAAAAAGGTTTTAGTGATTGATGATAATACCATATAGTTAAGATGGGAAAGAGCTTCCATTTACAACTGGCTTTATTTATCTTTTTCTCCCTGTACGGGTTGAAACTTTTCATGCATGGTCACAAGTCCCATCAGGTATTGGATTTGTTAAGCTATTTAAAAGCTGTGTGTTACATAAACGCTTTTTCTGTGTAAAAACCCCAGACATTTAGTGTTTCTACTACAGTATGTCTCGTGCCTGGACTTAAAAGAATTTTAAATGAAAGAAAATCTCATTAGTTGCCATACTCAGAGGTGGAAACAAAGGCAACACTAGAGGGAAAATGACTTAAAAAATTACTTTTAATACAACAGATTTAAACCACAACACTAAAATAAGTCTCCAAAGCTCAGTTCTAAGACGTGTTAATTGAACTTGTTTTGGGAAGGCTAGGACTGGAGAAGTCGTATCAGTATTTTAACATTGATTAACAGAGCGGGAAAGGCATTTTCACCTTTTCTTCAGCAGGCAACACAGGGGAAGAGAGAGGCCGTCGGCCCCGGTGTGTTGCTCTGACTCTCTAAACACAGATTTTCTCCTCCAGCCTCTGAAAAGCCCCCAGTCAACTGGGAAATTAGGTTCCTCTGGGTCCTAGGAGGGAGCAGAGCTCATCTCAAGAGCCTTGTGAAGGTGAGATTTTGGTGCAGGTTTTTTTCCTGAAACTTTTACCATGCTTTTCCTACTAGCTGCCATGACAATTGACTGCTTAGTCACTATTCAAACTTCTATACAAATGCAATGAAAAAAAAAATTGGTAATTCAGTTTTGCTGCTGTTTAGCAAAGT